TTCCTGTCGCAAAGATGATGGAATCCATGGTAGTTTGATCTTTATTGAACCAGCTCGCAAGAGCAACTTATACAGCATGCTATCTTGTACGATCTCTGACGAATGCCTACTCGGAATGTGCAGAATTAATGAGAACCTTTAATTTCGTTTGATAATAATTCATATTCACGAGTAATTGATTGTACATATAATGTCATCGCTTGAGTGCGATATTCTTTGGTTATATCGAAAACAGGCACGACCGCAAGTTTAACCTTGCTCGAGGATCTTATCAGGTGGCTTGCAGAATATTTGAACCCGATAGATGAATTGAGGAAGAGGAACACGATTCTGATCTCGGTTCCGCTCGACATGGCTGTTCGAGGTCCGATCGAGATGGTTTTCGAGTTTCTGATCGAGATATAGGTTAGGGTCGTTTTGGAGGTTTTCGATACTTTTGTAATATGAATCAACCCTCTTTATGTATTTTTTAATTTTTTAAATTTGTTTTGCTTTTCTCCTTTTTATATAAGATAAACACTGAATTATTTAATAACAGAGAGAAAAATGTTACTCTAAATGTACGAAAAGTAGTTTTGAATGAAATGTAAAAATGAGTAACATAAGAATGTACTAAAATGTTACTAAAAAAAACTATGCTCAATAAATTTATTATTTTTATGTAAACATTCTCTAAATCTCTAACGATTATCCTTTTCAGAAAGGTCGAAACTTAGGTCGTAGGATTTCTTATACATAATACTCACCCTCACCCTTCAAATCTTTGAGATTTTTCTATCTTATTGATTTGTAAGCCATCCGAAGATCGACTTAGCCGTCGTGAAACTAGTTATGGTAGCTATTCTCAAATGTTGGAAGTTCTTCGAGTTTTTCCAATTGGCGAGAGTCCACTGTATTTTCACCAATACATAAAGTAATGTGTTAAATAAAACAAAACGATATAATTATATATGGAAAAAGTATATTATGGTAGATAGCTATTGTTATTATAGTGAGACTCAAGAACACATATGAATTTTATACTTCGATCCTAACGGAACTGCATTAGTAGAAGTTTTTGAAAAACAAATGTCTTAATCGATTATTTAATGTTTTGTTCGATGTTTAAGCTTTTGTAAATTATTAATAATTTGTGTTATCAATGGATGATTATCTTTCAATGTACGTTGATATTGTTTTATTGCTTCCTGATAATAATCAATACATTTTGGATATTTTTTCCAAAATTCGTAGGCCATTGCAATTGCACTATTACCAATGTCTGGATGTGATTCGGGAAGTAATTTACGACGAAGTTCTAACGGTTGTTTGTAATAAACAATCGCCTGTATATATTGTTTCATAGCTAAATAAAAATTTCCTTTTAATTCTGCAACACTGATAAGTCCTTCTTGATGATTCATTCGTAAAAATATTCTTTCACCTTTTGTCATATTCACCCATTTGGAATAAAATATTTCCTAATGTTATCATTGATGCTTCGTCTACAATATTGTTATGATCTTCACCTTCGGTTAGATCATATCATCACTTCTCCTATTCTTCTTATAAAATACATATATATGCTTTGTGCGTTATTCTCTATGTTCTGGGATTTTCCCCATATGTAACTTATAATTTGTCCATGAATACTTTGAATATAAGCTTCACTTTCTTGCATATTATCAAGTGTTTCAAGATAATTAATACTCCTACGTAAAGCTTTATATGTCTCTTCGTTAATTCGGTCATTCTTCGCAATTGATCTTTGAAGACTATCTTAAACAGCGTTTTAGACAGTTGCAGTTGGGTTTGTTCAACCACACAGCCACTCTATTCAACTAACTAGTGAAGCGCACGCCTATACACACATAGCAAAAATCTTTTCTATGAGAAAATGCGCAAGAGTCTCTTATTACTTTTCTAACTTCCATGCAGCACTAAAAAGACCTTACTTATTTCTTTTGTGGATTGTTTACGTATTTGGCTGGATGATGAGTCTTCTGATAAAACTATCAGATGTTGGTTTAAGACTTGTGAGAAACATTGGTCAGAATTAGACAAAATGCTCGAACATTTGACACTACTACATGTTATATCAATCAAAAAAGAAGATGTCATATAATATTTTAAGTCGAATAATAACATTTTTTTCTAACTGATTTTTTTCTAAAACTCATGTGTTCTTGTTTGAGTTCGGTGTAGTCTTTTAACGCTTTATCGAATTTTATTTATATTATACTTCGATTATCAATCCACCAAAAACGTATGGTCACCACTAACAGACAGTAATGGGAATTCGTCTGGAGGTGTCACATCGGAGATCTCAGTAACTGTGATTGAGCATAAGAAATAACGTGGGAAATGAAATGTTATTTGAAGCTTATTCAAATCTAAAATTCTCATGCAATGAATTTCAGTTCGAGTTCTTAATATCGAGACATACTTCACTGACACTAAAATGGATGCACTTAATCGTCAGTTCTCATACCGAGTGGAACGTGTCACATTTCTTATGGGATGTTACAATCCCTAGGAGTTTCCCACAATAGACGCCACAGTAGGGCGTGATAGAATTCTTACCATAAAAGTTCTATTAATTTCCTACATATTTCCGATTGATCCTTGTGTTTTGCAGTAACAGTATTATATACGATTACGTAGGATTCGTAGTGTATCTTCAGTACATTCTGAATAATCTGACCGGTTATTTCTTCTAGCACGAAGCGTCTTTGTTCTTTGCTTTCATAGGCTTTCCTATTTTTGATAATCCATATTGATATTCGGGTAAGGGCGCTCTATGTTGGCCATCAAACAGCTTGTAAGCTAGCCAAATAGAAGACAGATGTATATAAAGTAGAGAATCATCGATACTGATACTCAGGCGGTATCGGGATCGAGCGCGCGATACCAATCTCTGAATAGTTTCATCTTGGCTGACGGTGGAACGCGCATCAAGATCAATGGAGCGGTTGAAATATATATTAAAATTGGATATATAACAACAAAAATTACGGCATTAGTATCATCTACATTATGTGTAGGATGTATTTTAGGTAAGGACTGGATTGGGCGTTATCGAGTACATGTTTCGGAGTATGATAGGAAGGTGACAGTGCACATGAATAAATCAACGGCATCAATTAAAATGGATGATGATACGGATAAACATGCATTTGCAGTGAGAGCGGCTAGTTCGATTATATTAGAACCACAATGTGAGCGAATTATTAAAGTGATTATGCCGGTGTAGATAGCGAAGGTTACACTGTTTCAACCGAAAAAGACTTTCCAAGAAGAAAAATTAGTTGTCATGCCGCATGCATTGTTGTCGATTGAAAATTATACGTCCTATATAACTATTGCTAATTCAACAGATAAACGCTGCCTGATACCATATAATACAAGATGAGGAGTAGTGTGAATTCAAACAGCTGAACTTCAATGTTATGCTATTAATCCAGAAACGAGTATGAACGGAGATAATACGTCTGATGTTATGCCTAGGCAGCTGAATGAGCCAGAACCGCAATATATGCAGCAACTGAACGTCGGATCATGTTTCAGCATCAGTAAAGCAACAATTCCTCAACACTTGAAAGATGTGTTTAAGCAGATGGTGGAACATATAGAGGATCAAGAAGAGAAACATGAAGTCACTACCATGTTACATAAGTATTATAAAATCTTTGATACAACAAAATTAAATATTTCTAATTTAAAAGTACCACCAATGATTAATTCAGGTGACAATCCACCGATTAGTTCAAGGGCGTATCGTACTGATCAACACCGAGGACAACTTATATCCAGGACAGTTAACGAAATGGTACAAGCTGGTCAAGTTAAACGATCATACTCATCGTGGTCGTCTCCGGTGTTACTCGTTAAGAAAAAAGACGACACATTTCGTTTCGTTATTGATTATCGACGACTTAATGAGATTACGGCAAAAGATTGTTACCCTCTGCCGGATATAAAGGATACATTAAATCGTCTAAGTGGCAGCAATTATTTTTCAAAATTTGATTTAAAAACGGGGTATCACCAGATACAAATGGATGAATCCGATAAGAAAAAGGCAACGTTCGTTCTTCACGATAGCATATATGCACCACAGATTATGACGATGGGCTTAAAAAATGCTCCATCGAGTTTTCAACGAATCATATACCAATTAATTGTGAACACTCGATGGGATCACTCCCTTGTGTATATCGACGATATTATATTATTCTCTCGAACATTCAGGGAACATATTGATCATATCGAAGAACTGTTTTTATATTAGAGCAAGCTAAACTGATATTAAACGCACCAAAATGCTCCATTGTACAAACGGAAATCAGTTATTTAGGTCATACGATCAACAAATATGGGGTGAGACCTCTTGCCGAAAATGTCGAAGCGAACGAAGAAGAACTCGCCTGGCATTAGGCCTGATGAGTTGACTACGACATCATTAAATTCGCCCTTACAAGATTCACCTATTTTTTCGACACCCAGAACTCCCACAACAGTAACAAGTAGAGCACCGTTGATTGATTTTAGTCTTATAAGAATCAGGAACGAACAACAGCATGATCAAGTTATTACTGATAAAATTAAACAAATTCTGCACATTCCGAGTAGGCATTCGTCAGAGATCGTACAAGATAGCATGCTGTATAAGTTGCTCTTGCGAGCTGGTTCAATAAAGATCAAACTACCATGGATTCCATCATCTTTGCGACAGGAA